TTAGTGCTTGTGGTACTAATAGGAATGGGAAGGTGGTTGGACTAGATGATCTTGCAGGTCGTTTCCAACCTCGTGATTCTATGATTCTATGATTCTATGATAACAGTAACACAAGAATCCCTGTCTGATGAAGCTAGTTGGCTGATCAGATCAGGGAAGTAGCATTTGAAAGCACAAGAAGAGATGGTGCCATGACAAGGTTTTGCTATTGTAGTTAAGTAGTAGACTTGATTTTCCTGGTTCTACCAGTCAGCAAAGTTGAGTATTTGAGTTGAGTATCTTGAAAGACAAGATGAGTTTTTTCATTGCTGAAGAGAACCGTGTTAAAATGCACCAAACCTTTCTTAAAGCTGCATTTTCAGCACTAGTCCACCTGGTGGTGTAAATCCATGTATCAACACGAGCTGGAAGTATGTAAGTAGTAAAAGACCTGCTGGATGAAAAATAAATACTTCAACTGAAACATCCAATTAATGAAATTTTATATAGATATATATATATATACACCCTGGCTAGTTAGTAGAATGAAATATTTTGTTGAAATAAGTATTTTGAATTCTTTGTGGCCCAAAGTGCTTCTACAAGACTTTTCTCAGTAGATTTTTCTTGTTTGTTTGTTTGTTTGTTTGTTTGTTTTACTGGTCCAGCCCTACCTACGCCAACCAACACAAAGATTTACTGCAACTGCAGGAGTGTCCTTGCAGCTAGAGAGATGTGCAACCTCAATCTGTATGAATTCTGCTGTATGTATCTCTTGGACTCTTCTCGAGGCTGAGGTTTCTCAGCTTGAAGAACTTAATTTCTGTGCAAGAGCAACGTGCTGACAGGGAGGGTGGTATATTTGGAGAATGCAGTCATGAGGTTCATATCAATGGATAAAATCTTTTAAATCTTTTAAGACAAAAGGACCGGCTGCCTTAAATGAGCTAAAAGCCTGTTCTCATTTGGAGAGAAGATCCTGGAGATGACAGTCATCCCTGCAAAGTTTTTTTGGCAACTGGTTACATTATTTAGATACAGCCCTACAATGTTTAAATCCTGGTGGTAACTGAGACCAACGGTCTCTGAGTTGCATGGCAGCTGCCTTCCTTGGTGCAGTGAGCTTGTCTACAAAAGCATGGCCGCATAGTTGTGGTTCTGATTAATATGCACATCACCTTGGGATGCTGCTGGTTCTGGAGGAGGCAGAGTGGCTGGTCCAGCTGCCTAAAAAAAAGTCAGTGTGCTGCACGGCTCTACGGTGACAATGATAAAAGAAAAAGCACAAACCCTAAAGACAGGTCTTGGCATTTGTTTTGCTGCACTTTCTTCTGTGTGTCTGCAAATTTTTAGTCTACTTTGTGTTGTATATTATAAATTTTGCAGTAAGGCGTTTCTGTCAGCTAAGGGGGACTTTAACTCCTCTGTGTGTCTTCCCTGAGGGCTTGTGTTGTGAGAGCATCTCACGGGATGTGGTTTGAGGGAAGAGAGGAAAGGTTTGGGCTGAGAAATGGAAGTCTGCACCTTAATGAGAAGCAGAAAATGGAAAATGGGCTGCCAGTGGCTCCACAGTTTCCCCAGGCCTGCCTCGAAGCAGCCTTTTCATGCCGCCCTTCATGTTGCCCTTCAGTGGGACAGCTTCCCAAATATGGGCTTGCTGACTTTCTGACCAAAATAGCGTCTGCGTGACAAAATGCGGCACAGAGGAATGTAACCTTAATCCAGGCATCATTGTGTAGCAAAAGGCAGGAGTCTGTGAGCTTCCACAGCAGCTTGGTGTCAGGTTTGTTGTCATCTGCACCTCTCTGTGATTTCCCTGCACACACAATGGTCCTGTGGGACACTGCCTGGATACTGGCAGTTTATAAGCGCATGACCACTCAGTTCATGAGTTCCCTCCTTCCCTTCCTTGAGGATGTTGTTGTGCCAGCACAGAAGGGAGAGCTGTGAATAGGTACCAATGCTAGCATTGCTCTGCAATGGGTATTCCTGCACTTTCATTTGTGTGTGCTATCATGTAAATTCTGTCCTGCTTTCTGTTGTTTGAGAAAGGCTGATGATCCTTTTTGGGAGGATTACATCTGCAGAACCCGGGAGATGGAACTGGCAGCTGCAGACCACTTGAAACTATTCCCATTATGCAGAGCTCTGTCATCTTTGACATTTAAAAACTTCAAAACCCGCATGACTAAGTCCTTGGTATCCCATCAGAAGGTGATGTTTTTGAGGGAGCCTCTCTGCTTAGCCACTGCCACACATCAGGTTATATTATGTTTTAGACTTGCTGATAATGATTTCTTCCCTTTGCAATGAAGAGGGCTTAGTATTAATTTATAGGTTGCCTCCTGTTTTCCCTACAGAGAAAAAAAATAGGGTGCAAAGGGCATGTAACCGAACACTGACCAGCTCGTTTTGCAGAGGTGAGCAATTGCACTGAAAGTGCAGAGTACAGAAATGGGAAGGAGAGCTCAAAGCAGTGGGAAATGCCCTGATGGAACATAGTAATCACCTGAGACATTGATGTTTGCTGTGAAAATGAAAAAAAGGACTGGATGCATTTTATTCTGACCCCTCCACCACCTTTCAGTAGCATGCTCCAGCAAAAAAATGCATGAACAGAACTTGATTTCTGCTTTGCCCAAGTTTCAGAGCTGTTACAGGCATTCCTTCACAACTGTGGATTTAGCACAGTGAAATGTTGTGTATCTGGCATAGATTAGCTCATTTCTTTTGCCCGTGTAGCAAACTTGCTTCAAATTACTGTGGAATTAAATCTGCTACCACCAAAAGCAAGCAGAGCAAGTCACCCAAGAACTGCAGCTGCATCTGGTGGCACGTGTTGCAGTCACATGGCAGCACAGCTCTGTCTCGTTTGGGCAGTACAGAGTAAGAGTGTGCAGATATGTGGGCTGTTTTACAGAATGTCTTTTGTCTGATTAGGAAAAAGAAAAAAAAAAGTGGATGTTTTGATGACTTTATTTCTTCAAGCAGTGCTCTGGCACTGGCAAATACAACATTGAGGAGAAACTGCAAATGTATGAGTTACATACATGCATGGGCTTCTGAGTTTTCTTCTTAACACATCTCCAGGCACATCTCCTGTGTGGAGGCTTTAACAAGGCTGACTGCGTGCCAGCTACAGGTTTGTCAGCCACCTAAGCTGCATGGCTGTCTATCACGTTGTGTTAAATTCCTAATGCAGTTGTTCCTGTGCTTTAGCCAACAGTGAAATCTACCCACACCACCCTACCCCATGGCATTTACTGGCTTGAATGACAGTCAGCATGTTAAGACAAATTGGTCTTGCAGCAGTTTTTCTGACTTTACACTGAGCATGCTGACCTGCCAAAGCCTCTGCTCTAAGGACTGAAAAGGCCCAAACATTCCCCAGAATTTCTGCTCTTGCAGGAACAAGTTTCAGCTGCTACAATGCTTTTGTCCTCTTCCTCTTCAGCCACCATCATCCCTGTTTTGCTCTCAGGGAAAAAAGAGGGGCAGTGAGGTTGTTGTGTGTGGCTGCTGCCTGTGCCCATACTCCTGGCACTTCTGAACCCAGGGCAGAGTGCTGAGACATGGCTGGATGGCTCCTCTCAACCTTCACAGCCATTCTTTTCCTTGATCTCATGGTGGAGTCCAGGCCACCCCATAAAGCCACCAAGTTGGCTAAAAGGGAGAGGAGGTTAAGCTGGGAAAGTTCCTTATTTCCTCTCATGTTCATAATTCAGTGAGCCAAAGCATGTTTCTAAGTGGTAGCGAACATCTTGGAGATGTCCATGTTGAGTATTGGGATCTGGTTGGGACAAAAAAAGGCGATGGAGCTGTCAGTGGTGCCTGCTCAGATGTGATATGAGTGTGGGTTGCCTTTTGGCTTGAGTGGTTGTAGGGAAATTTGGTGTCCCTGCCACCCCGTTGGGCTGTTCAGGAGGAAAAAGGCCAAATTTTACACACGTAGCATTGCTGTGGCTATGAGAGTGGCTGAAGCCCAGTTGTCTGAACCTCTTGTGCAGATTTCCAGGCATGGGTAAAACATTCCAAAAGTTTCCTCAAATGCAGGAGGCCTCAGTGGGACTTGTGAAGTGACTTGTGCTGCTCAGGAGGTGGAAAATGACAGCATGGAATCATTCAGTTGGAGAAGACCTTCAAGTTATCAAGGCAACAGGCTCCTTGCTCTGCACTGGGCTGTGTCTGGCCCAGGAGCCATGGCACAGAGGCCTCAGAACCCACAGAGAAGCCTTCTGTGTTTTCCAGATGTATGCATTAGAGATGTTCCTAAAATATCCTAGGTTTTAAGGAAAATCATAGAATCATAGAATGGTCTGAGTTGAAAAGGACCACAATGATCATCTCGTTTCAACCCCCTGCTATGTGCAGAGTCACCAACCAGCAGACCAGGCTGCCCAGAGCCACATCCAGCCTGGCCTTGAATGCCTCCAGGGATGGGGCATCCACAGCCTCCTTAGGTTGTGCAACCTGTTCCAGTGCCTCACCACCCTCTGGGTGAAAAACTTCCTCCTGATATCTAACCTAAACTTCCCCTGTCTCAGTTTAAGACCATTCCCCCTCATCCTATCACTACCCAGCCTTGTAAACAGCCATTCCCCCTCCTGTTTATATGTTCTCTTCAAGTACTAGAAGGCCACAATGAGGTCTCCCTGGACCCTTCTCTTCTCCAAGAAAAAAAAATCTGCTGCCACAATGCATTTCTTTGTTTCCTTTGATGTTACAAGCCCTGCTTGGGCAAAACATTTGTTGCTCCTTGTCCAGAGGAAAAACACAACACTTCTCACATCCTCACTTAAGCTACTTGGTGTTTGGTGTGAATTAATAATATTTCAGAACATCTAGGGGTCAAGGGCAATACCTGCAGGGCTTGCACAGGAGCAGACTGGTGCTGTGCCCTGCCAATATTTATTTTGCTTGAGTAAACATTTGATTTTAGCAACACGAACACAATGTGTGAGCTGTGCTGGGATGTAATTCGATGGGAGGAGGCAGCTATGTGCAGGGGGAGCTGCTAATACCATAGGAATGCCACACTTCCTTGGAGAGAGAGAAGACGGTGCCCAAGGCATCAGAAACAGCACCACTTGTCCTCCTGACCCTGCTGCCACCCTCAGTGTGGCTGTTAAGACTGTATCAGGGTCATGCCCTGCAACAGATACGATTTCTAAGGGAAAAATGTTGGGATTCAGATTCAGTGTGAAATGCCATAGTGCTACAGTGCTGCTCCCTCACAGGGCCACCTGCCTTCCTCCACACAGAATGAGACAAGAAAGAGGTGTTTCCAGATAAGTAGAAGTTTTCCTTTCGTATGTTTCACAGAGTGACCATCAGGATGGGAAAGAGGGGAGGGATGTCTTTGGGACAGTTGTGGTAACATCAGGGAGGAAAGGAGATGTTCCTTTCCCAGTGTTTTAGTAATGGAATAAGTGTTTGTTAATTCATGTTTCATCACTAAAATATTGCCAGGGTTCTAGTTAAACCAGCAGGCACCAGTGCAGGCCCCTGCTGCCCTCCCCATGGTGTGATCAGTGGGGCAATGCAACGTGGCAACAACGCAAAATGGCGGCTCCCTGGCAGGCACCCACAGCCACGAGGAGTGTCCCCTTCGGTTGTGAGCCTGTGGCTGAGGTGCAGCGCTCACCTAACTGCCAAGGAACAACTACCAGAGGCACTTGATAGCAATGTGCTTTATTTTCCCTAAGACCACCCCTTCTCAGCGCTCAGTCTTCATGCTGGCAGCCAGGGGATGGAACCGAGGAGCTGAGTCAGAGAGCAGAAGGGGTTTCAGAGATTCGGGCTGTCCATCTGGCCTCAGATTTATTCAACTCCCTTCATGAACTCCAGGAACTCTGCCAAGGGGGAGACATCAGAGATGAGGGCTATTAGGTGGCACTGAAGTGTTTTCACAGCTGCCATAGTACGCACTTGGCAGTTCTCCACGGCCCTTTCTCTTTTTCCATCTCACTGATGCACAAGAGGCCAGGCAGATGGCTACCACTCCTCTGGCCATGGCCTAGAGTTCCTCATGCCTGCCGATGGAAATGTCACCAGTGCCCAGTGTCACCCCCGGCCACAGACTCCACTCAAAAATGGTCTGCGGATCATTTTGGAAGCACTGTATTCAAAATAAGAGCCCTTCAGTGCTCATGCTTGTGTTTAGGTGGCAAAAGCAGACAGCAGGCCTCAGTGAAAACAAACCTTGCATTACAGCATCAGTGGGGAGCTAAGGGAGGCCCAGGTACTTGCAAACATTTTACAAGCCTGAGAACCTCCCCAGCTCCATACAAACCCAGGATGGGATCAGGTGTGTTGCCCAGCTCTGCCTGCACAAGCTCACACCTGCCCCCAAATACAACCAAGAACATGGGAGCTGCTCAAGGACAACCAAACTTCAGGCAAGAAAGATTCCTACCGTCATAGTCAATCCTGCCATCATTGTTTTTGTCCCCATCTTTCATCAGTTCTTCTATGTCATCCTCAGTGATCGTCTCTCCAGTTGCCTGTAGCATGATCTTCAGTTCCTCAAGATCGATGTAGCCATCAGCATTCCTGTGCAAGGACAGAAGAGCTTAGGAGGGGACCCACACACTGGGCAGGTGAGCTGGGACCATTTCACCTCTCCCATCACCCATACTGTGGCCATGGTTCTTACTTATCAAACATCCTGAAAAGATCTGAGAGTTCCTCTTCAGTTTTTCCTTTGCTGTCATCTTTCATACACCGGACCATCATAACAAGGAACTCATCAAAGTCCACAGTGCCGCTACCTGTGTGCAGAATGAACACCGTCAGATAGCAGGTGCACGGGTAAAGCCAAGTGAGAGGACAAAGTACCTGCTAGGAACTGAGGGACAGAACTCAGAGAGCAGCTCTGTGGCAGGAAGCAGCTTGCAGGCTAGAGTGAGCAAGCAGAGGCCACGGACTGAATTCATTACTCTTTTTGCTTATTTATTTATTTAGCTTTTGCAGTCATTTTGCCCTAGCAAACCAAACATACTGCAAAGAAGGACTGGAAGCATTGATGAATGTGAATTCCTACCATGGAGGCACCTGTCCATCTCATCAATAATAAAAACTGCAGCAGGCAGGTATTCATGCACTATTTTTGCACTGACAGTGTAGTAGTGTTGTTTTCAATGACACTAAAGTTTTGCATGATTTTTGGCCACTTTTATCTTTTCCAGTTACTTAGTACAGTATTTCTCTCCAACCTGCACACTGATTTGATCAGTATACGTGTTTATGTCCATATATGTGCATGAGCAGTGAAAGACTTTCCTGATAGAAATCTAATTGTGACATTCATGCAATACTAATTGCTACGAAATTGAGTTCAAGTAGTCTGGTCATGACAGGCATAATTTTTATAGTGTTTATTAGCCTGAAAATTTCCTAAAGGAACCACACTGAAGTGTGGGGTACATTCAGTGTCCATCAAAATCCCAGCTCCCAGCTCTCAGAAGGTGCTGTACCCAGCGTGGATCCTGCCTGAGGCCCATGGGCAGCAGGGAGCACTGGGCACAGGGACCAGGCTTGAAATGAAGAAACCAAAATCTCTCACCATCCTCATCCACCTCGTCAATCATCTCCTGCAGCTCCTCGGGAGTGGGGTTCTGCCCCAACATCCTCATCACCTTCCCCAACTCTTTGGTGCTGATGCAGCCATCCTCTGCCCCCAGCACGAAGATGTCGAAGGCAGCCTTAAACTCTGAGAAGAGAGTAGAGAGGAGATGTGTGGGTCCTTGTCCCATGCTCCGGCCCCAGGTTGAGGGCTTGCTCTGTGAGAACACCCAAGGGACACAGAAGCTGCCTGTGATGTGATCCTAGTGGATCAAAAGCCCTGGGAGCTCATCTTCAGGCAGCCATGTCAGGTTAAAGATGCACCTACCATTTTTTTGTTCTTCTGTCAGCTGCTCAACCTGTAAGTGAAAGACAGAGAGCAATTCATTTTAATTCCTCGTCACTGCTAATTGCTAACCCTCCAAGAGCTGCTCTCTTACAGGTTGAGACCCAATCAGAGGAAGAACATCCTTGTCCCCATGGCGAAGGCAATTCCCAGTAGTCGTTTTCAGCCCTAGATTCAATAAACTATCAAAAGCATTAAGATCTTGTCTACCTCCATCAGAATTCATTTTTATAAAGGTTCTGCCTCTATCTCCTTCAGCCTATTTTACTTCAGAGGGCTGGAGCACCTCCCTTACAAAGATAGGCTTAGGGAGCTGGGCTTGTCCAGCTTGGAGAAGAGAAGGCTGTGGGGTGACCTCAATGCAGCCTTTCAGTACCTAAAGGGAGCCTACAAACAGGGGGGGAATCAACTCTTTTCAAGGATAGATAATAGCAGGACAAGGGGAAATTGTTTTAAGTTGAAGGAGGAAAGATTTACTGTTGGATGTCAGGGGGAAGTTCTTTACAGAGAGAGTGGTGAGGTGCTGAAACAGCTGCCCAGGGAGATTGTGGATGCCCTGTCCATCCCTGGAGGTGTTCAAGGCCAGGCTGGATGGAGCCCTGGGCAGTCTGGTCTAGTATTAAATGTGGAGGTTGGCAGCCCTGCCTGTGGCAGGGGGCTTGGAACTTAATAATCCTTGAGGTCCCTTCCAACCCAAGACATTCTATGATTCTACAATTGATTTTATGGCCCAAATACTCAGCATTTGTGTAGACTCTTTGGTCTGTACAAGCACCTCAAGCAAAATGGGCTCCTGGGATGAAATGGGGATGTGCCACAGACAGGTTATTGTGCATGAGGAGCAGGCTGCAGTCACTGCTGTTCCCTGAACCTGGGCACTGGAATGTGGAAGCAAACTGAGGCAGATGGGAGCAGCTGGAAGAAATGGTCCCTGCAGCCGCTCAGAGCTGGACAAGATTGCTCCCAAGTCCTACCCAGCTCATCTATCCAGGCCTAACCCCATCCACCCACCAGTGGGAGCTTACCAGTTAGCAGGAATTAATGAAAATTGACAAGGAGAGCAAAGAGGAATCCACCAGATCCTCGTGAAGTGCATTTCTTTCCGATCCTCTTGCAGTGCACCGCCACGCCATAGGCTTTATTCCTGCCTGCAGGCAGTGACCCCACTGCCATACCCACCTGCCCCCTCAGTAACATCCATTACAATGACTTGTGTCCCCCCCCCCCCACTGCTTCTGACACCCTCGACACCCATTCCCACTGTGTTTGGGTTGAAGCAGAACCCCCCAACGCAGCAGCACTCAGTCTTGGAAGCGAGACGGATGGTTTTTCACCCGAAGAGCAGTAATATGACAAAAAAAAAAAACACAAAAAACTGGAAATCCTTCCTGCTTGCAGCAAGAGGCAGGGAAAATGCTTTATCTTAGCAGGAATTGGGAAGAGAGCCCTATCCAGCTCCCAGGGTGAGAAAGCCTTGCCAAGAGCAGCAGGAAGAGCCCCAAGCCCTACGCAGGCATCATTTGGGCAGCTCAGCCGATGGCCACGGCCACTTGGGTAACCTGACCCCCTGGCAGCATTCGCTATTTATAAGCCCTGATGAGAGAGGTGCTAGAGATAAAGATGAGCCCTGTGATTGTTCCCAGGCTTTTGGTATGCATCCCCACAGCCTGTTATCCTGACACTTGTCCCCGGCAACACTCTTAGAACCATTCAACAGAGCTGAAAAATGCTCCTGAAATAGCCTTGTGCTTGCACACCCTTATCTAGACATGAGTGGGCGAGACAAAATCCCACTGGGTTCTGCGGCTGCACCAAGGGAATTTGACATGGATATGATGTTGGTGTATACCCTCAAAGGTTGCTGCCATTAATGTATGCAGCAAATAACAAATCCTTACTTCCAAAGCTTTTTTGACTACTGCATGTTAGCTTTCTACAGGACTACGGATGTGGAGCTGTGCTGGATGGAATGCAAGCACACAGTGATGCTTTTACAACACAGCTTTCTCCCAAGCTGTCATTGTGCCCTCTGGTCACAGATGATGTTCAGAGCTTTTTCCCTTTTTCTCCTGTGCTGCTTGCTCAGGAAATAGCTTTCTCCTGCTGCTCTCTGTGAAGGCAGGCACCCTTACCACATGATTTTGCTTTTTCAGCTCCTTTCTTCATCCCACATTTCCAATTGAATTTGGGCAGGGAAGTTTAAGATCTTAGTTAGTTAGTTATTTTGCCAGATACATGTTTTTCTACAGTCAAAATCTTGGGAACAGACTTATGAAAAAGCTATCAATTTCAGCCATGTTTTGCCTCTTCTCCTTTTGCCTTTACATTGGCAGCTCCCAGTCAGAGCCCACCAACACATTTCTCAGATCAAGGACTCTGCTTTGGGTGTCCACAGAGGAGGTTTGGGTTGAAATCCACAGGCTTCAGCTAGAGATGACCTTACCATTGATTTTTGCCCATTTTGGGGTGGAAAGGCACCCTAGGCTTTCTTCCTAATCCATGCATGAAGTCCCTAAACAACATAGCAAGGACCTGTTCCATGACAGTACATAACTAGTTAAAAAAACTTAATTATAGGGGCTGGATTTTCACTGATTTTACAGGGCACATTCTTTTCCCTTTTGCTTGCTCCTCGGGGCACTCAGCACATTGCCATGCACTACCCAGCTCATTCCTCACATGCTATCCGGATCCTGGGAGGGGGTCACTGCTGTAAGGGCTGAGCAAGTGACAGGGAAAGGTGGCACCGTCTTCTTTCCCTCAATTTTGTTTCACCAAGCAATGTCTTTTTTCCCTCTAAACCTCTTGGAGTTGTAATTGTAGGATGTATTTTTCAACCTGGCCAACTCTATGTTAAAAAAAAAAAATCACCCCGAAGTTCTTACGCTGTATTTTAACTCCGGGCACGCAGTAGTGATTCACACAATACAGAATCTATTTTCATCCTTATCACACCCGCATATCACTCACTCTCTGTCTAAATTACAAAATGATGTGCTGAGCTTATTATGGACCCGAGCGTTCCGGGTGTGCAGGGCAAGCGCTGCGTGCAGCTGCCGGGATGCTCTGCATTCCCAGAGAGCCTGCTTTCCAGCCTAGATTCCTGCGCAGCAAACAGGGGGTAGCAGAGGCAGAGCGGAGGGGGGCATTCAGAAACAGCGGCCAAAGCAGAGAGATTTTAAAAGTCCCACCGAAAAACACTCAGCCGAGGAAGGGGAGGATCTTAAGCAACGGCGCTTAGGATTTTAAAGCTCCAGAAACGAGAGGGTGAGGTTGAACTCATGCAAATCATCTTTCAACCCATGCAAATCGTGCTTGTTTTGTGGGAAACGCTGCTCTGTCGGGATGTGACCGCAGCCGGCAGCCGCCCCTTCCACTTGGCCGAGGTTCGGAACACCTCAGCGCTGGGAGCTTCACGCAGACGAGACGAGGTGACTCCAGCGGAGCCGCCCGCCGCCGTCCCGTAACCAACGGCTGCCCATTGCCAACATCTCCTCGTCCCATTCCTCCCAAGCATCCCAGCCCCGGGCAGGCACTCACCGCCGCCTTATAGATGTCATCCATGGTTGGGAAGGGAGGGCGAGCGGCCGGGGGGCGTCACAGACACGCTCTGCCGCTGCCGCCCCGCCGGCCCCGCTGATATAGGGGGCAGCGGCCAGTGACGGGATGCGCCAGCCCACCGCGGCCCGGCCCCCAGCAGCGCCTCGCCGCGTGCCCGGGCTGCGTGGCACCGTGCCGGCTTGCGACGGGCCGGCCGGCTCCGCTGCATAGCGCCGGCAGCCGGAGCCTGGCCCCTCGCTTTGGGGCCCGGGACGACGTCCTTGGAGGAGCCGGGGAAAACGTGCGGCTCGCTGCTGCGCCAAGCAGCGAGGCGGGGGCAAATCGGGAGCGTCCCCCGCGACTTCTGCGTTCAGCCGGGGATGCAAACGGCGACGGGGCGCTGCCAAGTGATGCGCGTTGGGGTGAATTCCCCGTCCTTCAGGAAGCGGCAGCCCGTCCCCGCGCGGATGGAGCAGCCCACGCTCGGAGCCGGCAGCGCTTCGGCCCCAGCGACAAGCAGCTGTTACAGGGCAGGGAGAAGCCCTAAACCCGAAGCAGCCCGGCCAGGTCGCGCTTCTGGGTGTGCAGCACTCCCTCTGGTGGGCTTCGGCCTGCTGACAGCTGAGCAGCAGGGATGGACGCAGCTGTTGGCTTCTTCTCCTCCAAAAATAAAAGCCACTTGTCTTCTACAGAAATCACACTGCATGCCAAAATTCGGTCGTCCCTGCTGAGCACTCAGTAGCAGCGGTCGGGGCCACGGTGGGTTTCACCAAATAATGTGCAGCAAAGGCTGCGATGGAGCACGTATCTGCAAGGATTGCTCCTCAGCTGGGCTGCATTAACCTTTGGGATGGGGACGGATCAGTCCTTCGGTGCCGGGGACACAGCAGAGGCACAAAGGCTGCTGCAGTCCCCACAGCCTGGCTGCCAGCCCCAGCACGCTGGAGTGCAGCCGAGGCCGATGCTCCCCACCACGCCTCTCTGGGAGGTTTCTTTCCCAGCACTGCCTATGGCAGACGTGAAGCAGACATAAACTTAGCCCAAATTTGACCTGCACAGCGCTGCGTTGCACGGAACTGCACGACGCTGCACAGCACAGCGCTGCACACTGTTGCACTGCACAGCTCAATACTACACCGCACAGCACCGTGTTGCATCGCACAGCACTACGCCGCATTGCTCAGCGCAGCACCGCGTTGCATTACTGTGTTGCATTGCATAGCACTGCATGAGCATCCACCGGAGAGAGCAAGCACGCAGGCGTGCCCCACGCGCATAAGCCACGCCCCCTCGCCGCTTAGCCCCGCCCTCCTTCGCGCGGACGGACGCGAGGCCCGGCCAATCCCGCCTCCCCCTGCGGCAATCCCCGCCCCCTCAGCGCCAAGCCAATAAAATGACCGCGGGCGGGACCGGCCGCACCCCGAGGGGGCAGAGCCAAGATGGCGGTGGTGGCGGTGGCGGTAGCGGCGCGGAGCGGGCGGGGAGCCGGGGCGGGAGGCGGCAGCGGCGGGCGGAAGGGAGCGGCGGCGGCGTGAGGGGCGGCTGCGCGTTTCTTCCGCGTCATGGAGGCGGCGGCGGGCGAGGACGGCGAGGAGCCTCTGCGGAACGCGCGGGTCCTGGGCTCCGAGCTCGTGGAGACCTACACGGTAATGGCCGCGGCCGTCGTTCCGTGCCGTTTCCTGAGGAAATCACGCGAGCTGGGGCGGCGTTGGCGTTCGGCGGTGCTTCTCCAAGGGGAAGGCGGGGGGGAGAGGCGGCCAGCCGTGTTTGTCGTTGGGAAGGAGCTCGGGTTTTGGCGTCTCGCTTCTGTTTTTCGACGGGTTGCGTTGTAGCGGAGCTGTGTTGTTCAGGAAGCTTCTCACGAAGCCGCTCGTGGCACAACGCACTGCAGCACCGCCCTGCTTTATGTAAGGCGAGCTGCGGGACAGTGCCTGCAAATCCGTCTGAGCGGCTTCCCAGAGGAAACTTAGAGCCGTTTCTGCGCGTCTTAGGACGCAGGATGGGCACAGCTGTAGTACACCGGGAGCGGAACGGCTCGCCCGCCCCTAAACCGGCTTTGTTTGGGCTTCGGGAGGTGAGGGGCTGTGAGCAGGCTGTGGTTGGAAACTTGAAATAGATTCTTGGAAATAGTTTCAGCTCTTTCTGGCTGCTCCAGGATGTGTATTCACCAGAGCTGTGCTGGTCAGGTTGTGGTTCATCCCTGTGCCATGGTGGGACATGCAGCATGCTGTCTGGATGCTTCCAGAACTGTTAATGTTGGTGTTGAGGATTTTCACCAGTATTTTACAGTACCCGTGCAAGAGAAATTAGAGTGAATTTGAAGAAATGTCCGAATGTTACTTGCCCCTGGAGATTACAAGCAGGGGAAGGGCAGTGCTAGCTGCTTTTGGTACACAAACAACTACGGTGGTACCCTGGGCAAGGCCATCAGTGTGCTGGATGGAGCTGTAATTCAGGCTTATGGCTTTGCGGGTAGTGCTCAGCAAATCAGCTGGTGGCTGGGGCTAGTAGCTAAGTTAACAGAAGTCTTAGTTTTAAAGATTTCTAATGAGTGGAGCTCTGGGAACGTCATGCTATTTTGATGTCACTTTGCTTGGGTGCTTTAAAAGTAGCTCATTAAGAAGGGAAGTTTTACAAGTAATTAATCCTGGTTTTGATTCTCTTGCTGCTGGTTTGAGGGAGTTGAGACACTGAGCTTCCCCGTTTGTACAGCCATGAAGAGTGTTAGCAGGACTGCAAACCTGCAGCAGTTTGTATGAGAAAGCCTAAGCAATTAGATATGGGTGTGATTTTAAATGAAGACAAAAATGATTTGTAAAATAATTGACAAAGTGAAATGGTTTGCAAAAATTGGCATTTGTTTTGCTTTAAAATTGAGTTGTGCTGCAGTAAGGACCTTACAGTGACCTGTAGTGCAGCAGAAGTAAAAGGTGTAAGAGCCAGTCGCATCTGTTAAAGGTGAGAAAGGAAATACTGGTGGCAAACTGCATCAATAGCCATAAGAGATAGCATCAGTTGTCTTTCTATCCTTATCTTTGAAAGAACCTTTTATTTTGGCACTGATGCTTGCTTTTGTACTCTGTATTTCAGAGTTTATAATCTCACAGAAGGGGGGGGTCTTTATTTCAATGACATCTGGATGGTGGTTTAGGTGTTAGAACGTCCAAAATATATGGGGAAGTCCCACAGTTCTTCATAATCTTAAAGGATTTTTAAAATGTGGTCCTTGCTGGAGCTGTTAGGCAGGAAGGCAAGGTATGGATTAATCCAGCAGAAAAGATATACGCTTATTGACAGTGTTTCTGTTGGGTTAGAAAAGCCTGAGCACCTTCACTGAGTGTTTCCCCTGTGTGTGCTAGTTGGATTAGGTGCTGACTGAAGACTGGCAGATTACTAGAAGGCCTCAAGGCTGCCAATGCTTCATTTGTTTCCTTCTGTGCATTTGTTTGGCCTATAATCGTTTTCCTGCCTTTCTTGTCTTGTGCAGCTGTTTTTAATGTTAACTTTGATAATTAAAGAAAAGACTGTGGCTTCCTCAGATGGGTGTAAACGAAATGCCTGAGGAGTCAGGGAGGAGCAGATGCATCATTGCTCTGCAATGTGGGACCTGCTGGCTGCGGTTGCACCTGTGCCCTGGGCTGTGGATGTAGGCAGCTCTGTCAGGTACTTGTTTTTCTCTCAGTGGTACCGAAGTTTGTGGAGTTGGAAGGAGGATACTGCAAAAAGGCAAGTTCTCTGTACAAAGCAAGATGAACAGGGTTTTGTTCACTGTGTGTGGTGTAGACAAAAAGGAGTCTGAGATCACTGGTGTTCGTTAACAGCTGGATTAGAAGCTACACATCTTAATTTTACATAAGCATTTTACTAGTATAGATTGGGGAGGATAAAAGGCATGCTGTAAGGGAGTGAGTACTGCCCAAGGAGGCTGTGGGTGCCCCATCCCTGGAGGCATTCGAGGCCAGGCTGGATGTGGCTCTGGGCAGCCTGGTCTGCTGGTTGGTGACCCTGCACATAGCAGGGGGTAGAAATGAGATGATCATTGTGGTCCTCTTCAACCCAGGCCATTCTATGATTCTAACTATGAGAACCTTGGTGTATAGGTAAGAAAACAATGAGAAAATATAGCACTAGATATGGTAACAACATGTAGAAAGACTTGCAAAATGTATTACAATTAAGAGTTTAGTGAAGGCACTGGGAGGTAGGCTTCCAGATTGAAAACCTGTGGGTGCGAATGCTTTCATGTTTAGCTGCAGACTAATGCAGTTTGTCATAAATACAGGTGGAGATCTCACATGGTAATGGCTGGGAGGAGGCACAGCATGGTTTCATCTCCCTGTGTGTGCCTGCAGCAGGTGGCTTGGTGGCTAGGCTGACATTCACCAATCTTGAACTGTTGGCCTATTAGTCCACTCAGTTAAATGAAAAAGTCACTACATATCTGGCTTTCTTTAAAAGCCCAATATGTCTTTTTTGCTCTAGAATGAATTGAAACAAGGCTTTGGAGCATGCAAGTCTGTTTCATTGATGTTCCTCAAGATAATGACAGTTTGAAGATGAATGTGCAGTCTGTCTGAGGGCTGGGGCTGTATGGCTGGTTGCGGCAGTGTTCTACATGGGGAGTGCTGTGAGGAGTTGGCTTATCTGAAACATCTGCCTTAACAGATGTGTTCCTGACCAGACTGTCCATTTGGCTCCATCTGTGTTTCTGGAAGTGCTCAGGGCTTGTCGTTTTGATAAAAGCTTTCATGGAACCTTTGTTGTATGTTTGCTTTGTATTGAGTGCGGAGAGGAAGCTCCTAGCTTTGTTGTCTCGTGAGTTTGCAGTTGGGAGCTATGGAGTTTACTGGGTTTTCAATATCTCAAAGTTTTATTCATTGCACATTCAGTCTGTGTTGTATTTAGCTATGCTGCTTGATCTGCCATAGTTCAGTGCACAGCATTTGAAAATAACTAGTATTCTTCTGGCTTCTGTGCATAGTACTGCTGTGGTTCTGAATTTAATCTGATGATTTCTTTGAGTCCCCTCTTGCTTTTTCCTCAGGCATATGAGGAACTGCTGACACTCAGATTATTCCTCTTTTGGTTTGTCATCAGCAAAGTAAATAATCCTGGCTGGCGGTTTCTCAACCAGCCTGGAAATCATATGCAGGCCTTAATTGA